AATCTACAGGAAAGCACGTATAACTGTTCTCTCTGGATCATGAGGAAGCTAAGTGGATCCTGAGGAAACAATCTATTACCTTGGCCTCATCTGCATGTGGCTTCTTAGCTGGTATTCCAACTCAGCTGACTAGTCACAGAGGGTTACAGTAATAAAAATGTGACTAGTGGAGATGGAGAAAGAAAAAAGTTATTTATTCAGTTCTGTTGGAGTCAGGAATCCTGAGCTCACTGAAATCAAACCAGCTTGTTTTGTAATCTAGGATTAAAATTTTAAAGTTCCCAATTCGAAATCTTTATTCACTTATATAAAGCAGCTGGAAGAATATACTGATATAGCCTTTGCCTAGAAGCCCAGAGACCTGGGCATTAAGTCTCAGTTGTACAACTTTGGTCAAGTCACTGAATTTCTTTGATTATTCCCATATTATAGATTAAGAAATTATCTATGACCCCTCCTTTTCTCATAGAAATAAAAGAAAATACTTCTGCAAACACTTTAAGCTCTTTGAAGCACAGAGCATTTCAAGAATTAAAAGTAATATTGAGTAATTCCTAGGCCATCTTATGCCTCTCCAGGACAGCACTTGGCTCTTGGCCCCTTTGGCTGTGCTATTACCCTCCCTAGGGCTTCCCAGAACTAGAGACTCACCTCACAAACTGATCTCGCCCACCCACTGCAAATTGGTGAGTGTTGGCGGGGTTCACGTAGATTGTGTATAGCCCAACTTTCTTCTCCTTCTCCTTCGTCACCACCAGTTTCCTTTAAGAGTAGAAGAGCATACACAGTTACATTCCCCAAAGGGTCCAGATGGTCACGGCAAGTGAGAGCAGGGAGAGAGGCGCAGACAAGGCTGACAAGAAACCAAACAGATTCTTATTTGGAAAGAGAGAAAACAGCTTTTCTTGTTCCAAAGTTAAAAAAAAACATACATTTACCATGTGTTACTTCAGAAATCTAAAAAATCTCTAAGGAGTTCTCTTTAGTAATGTGCAACTAAATCATTTTCTGGAGTGTTTTTTGAGCCAGTACATTCTGAAGACACCTGCTACCTTAGTCACTCCATGATCTTTTTGCACAGGGACCCAAGGACTCAATCAACACGGCATCATTTCAAAACAACACTAATTTGTGATTACACAGATAACAGCACTTTCATCTAAGATCTTTAGGCTTTTACCTACAAATAGCTCTCTGCAATTCCTTAGAGAGGAAAAATTACAGACGGAGGGTTGAAACAAATCTTGTAGTCATTTCAATTATGGTTTTCAGACAAATGTCACTTTGAACCAGACTTATAAATGAGTATCAAAAATAACGCCCTAACATTGTTTCCTAGCACAAGGAACATAATCGAAGGGAAAACAGCATCCTTAGCCATCCATTGGAATCAAAACTGGTTTGTTTGTAGACTGCAAGGCTGATAAACCAGTCCTGGACATTCTTCTGACTAAATCACAGAAAAGGCTGTCTCCTACGGGGTATGAAGGCCTGGGGCCAACCTCCTTGCATCCTGGCCCGGAAATTTCAGGGTTGGCTAAATCATGTCCCTCTTCCACAACGTTTTATATAGGTGCAATCAGATTACAGTGAACATAAAGGGCAAGAGAAAATTAGTCAAAAAAGGATAACATGAAGCCTGAGGACCATGTGGGTAAGTTACAGGGTCAATGGCTTTAGCAGCTTAGTGAGAGTGTGTGTATATTGAACATATCAATCTTTTTTAGCACTAGTTGTCAGGTCCACTTCCTCCCTACTCAGGCAATCACCCTGAATCAGTGCTCTGACAGTGGGTACATAACAATACCATGATTTTAAGCAATTTGCTATATTCTGATGAAAACAAAAATGGAGGCTTAGTAAGTGTAAGTGGGTTACCTGTGATCACCTACAGATGATGGCACCTAAGGTTTTATCCAACATAAATTCTCCTGCATTGCTGAAATATTCTCATTCTAAAACAAGTGTGCAGGTTCAAAACTTGGACTAAAAAAAAAAAAAAAAAAAAATTCCAGGGCAGCTAGGTGGCGCAGTGGATAGAGGCACTGGCCCTGGGGTCAGGAGGACTTGGGTTCAAATCTGGGTTCAGACTCATAACACTCACTATCTGTGTGACTGTGGCCAAGTCACTTAACCCCAATTGCCTCACCAAAAAAAACAAAAACAAAAACAAAAAAATGCCTAGATACAGTGTTACCTAATAGATTCAAGATACTAGAGAGTTAAGTTTCCATAATTTGTTCTAACTTAAGCAAAGACCTGAGGGGGTTCAGGAGCATCTACATTTTTGGTATTCAAACCCCAAAACTTACAATTCTACAACCACTCAAATAGGTGATATTACTAACCTGCCAGAGAATGTCAAAGTTTAAAGGCAAAACAGAAAAATCAAACAACTGTAGAGGAGGATGCAGGGCTTTAGTTTTTGTTTTTAATCCTAAACTTTACTCATTTCTGGTGCCATGGAAACTGAAAGATATAACACAACCTTGACAAAGTTTCTTTGCCAAGAAGCTATTTTAGTATCCACTCTGGATAGTCACAGCCACCTAGTCTGGAACTTTTCTAAGACAACTCAGGAGATTTTGTTTTATTTCAAAGCCTTTATACCTCTTTCTGTTAAGTAAGTTAGAAAGAGATATCATTGCAGAGAATGGTGGAGCCGAGTAATTTGGGACTCATAAGAGACAGCCATTTGGGGCAAATACTACTGTTTTTCCTTAGCACCAGAGCTCCTTCAGTTAATATATTTCAGGCTACCTGGAATGACTGAAATCCACAAAAGGTTGCCTACTATTCCATGGTACTTACTGATGGAAAATGAAGAATATAGATAGACAGGTTAGAGTCTATGCGCTACTACTGAATGATCACTAACAAGTCACACTTTCTATGTCTTTTTTCACCATTCAAATAGAACACTTCCTTCTCCTCTTGAAGGTCAATATGAAGAAAAGTGCACTAAGTATATATACTAAGTGCTTTGAGCTCTCTGAAGCTACTTCAAAAATTATTAATCTAGGAATCCGAGAGAAGCAAAGTGGATTTGGGAGTCAGGAAAAATTGGGTTGGAATCCTACTAACTAGCTGCATGATCACAGGCAAGTCATAATCTTTCTGAGCCTGAGTTTCCTGTAAAGTGGATATAGTAATACGTCTACTAAGGGGTTTTGTGAGGCTCAAATGAATACATTTAAATACTTATGTGGTGCCTGCAACAACCTTTGTAAACTTAAAAGTGTTATATAAATATGTTAACATTATTATTATATGGGAGCAAGCAGAACGATCCATAAGCATGAGCAGTAATAAATTCAGCATAACTATTTTAAAATGACTAAGTCAACAATATGGTCCAGCAGAGAGAGGGCAAAAACCCACAAAGTTCTTGTATGGACAATCCATACCAAACTATATTCCCTTAAATATAGGAATCCTTCTTTTCATAGATAACAATCTAACCACTTTATCTCTTTGTTAGAGAGTCCTTGATAATCACACTGACTACCAGGGATTCAAGCATCTTCCATATGCAAATAAATTCCTTTAACTTTTCCTCTTATGCCAAACCCACATAATACTAAGTAATATCATATTACCAAACTAACTAAACAAGGTCAAAATAAAGCTGTTCATCTTCCCTCCATAACTCTTCTTCATATCCAGCTTCCCCACAACAGTAAGCAAAAATACCTACTTCTTCAACCCCTCAAACAAAAAGGAACTTTAGAATAGTCCTCTTTGGTACAATGATGAGTATTCCCTACCTATGAATACAGTACAGCTGGGTTTGATTGCTCCACAGAATAGCAAAAGTATTCTAGAGATCAAAGAATAGTGTAGAAGGGGAAAAAACCCTGGAAATGGGAATCAAAAGATTTCAGTTCTTTTCCTTGCTAGGTGACAATGGGCAAGTCACTTAACCTTAATCTATACTGAGTGACATTGGCCTCTTGGCTGTTCTTCAAGACACACCATCTCCTGACTCGGAGCATTTTTGCTGTCTGTCCCCCCCCATGCCTGGAATTCTCTTTTTTCATCTCCATCTCCTGGCCTTCCTAGCTTCCTTCAAATGACAGTTAAAATCCTACCTTCTGCAATCCTTCTCTTGATTATCTCTCATTTATCTTGTATATATCTTGTTTGTACACAGTTGTTTGCATATCATCTCCCCCATTAGTGGAACTGTTTTTTACCTTTCTTTTTATCCTTGTTGCTTAACAGAGTGCCTGGAACATAGAAAACTCTTAATAAATGCTTGCTGAGTGATTTTCTATGCTTCAGTTTTCTCATTAATAAAACTATAAAAGTTTGTCTAAATCCAAGCTCTAACACATCATTACACTTCACATCTCATATCCAGCCTACTTCCAAATCTTGCTCTTCATTTACAATATTTCCTATAATTAGTCACCCTTTAATCTCTATCCCTTCTGTCACTGGATTTAATATATGTCCCACATCTTCTCTTAACTAAGTTTTCTGCCTGAAGTATCTTCAATACTGCCAAAACCATTTTCTCTAAAGATTTCTCTGCAAGTCTCTCCCATTTCTTGTAGCCCTATAGTGGTTTCCTGCTGTTCTATGAATCAAAACCAAGATCCTTACCCAATTTTAAAACTTTCCACCAGAGCTTAATGAAGTACACACTATTTTCTATATTCTCATCCTTCTTTTCCCCTGTGACAAACTTGTTAAAGTCCTTTCATCTGGTCAATCTATCCTCAGCCCTCTACCAAGCCATACCAAATCTCTAAAATGAACTTCCCCCATTAAAGACCCCTTCCCTTCTCCCCCACTTGCTTTCCTTTTATCATTTAAATGGCTCTTAAAATCCCACCTGCTTCAATTCTCAGACCGAAAGGTGGGTGAATACTCCCCGCAGCACATTACCTAAACTCTACAAATACCCTCTTATCTTCTGACCCCACTATTTTAATGTACAGTGTACATACAATAGAATTCTGTGATAATGTTCATATTGAAACAAAACTAATACTCCTTTAAAAAATAAGCATCTATCAGTCCTTTACTAAAGGCAAACACATTAGGATGAGAGTTGATTCAAATCCAAATTCACATTTAGAAATGAGCTGCACTACTTTATATTATCATACTATAATACATCTGTTTCAAGTTTACTATTTGTAATTTACTTTCTGAACTATTTGTTTATCCTTGTTTATCCTTCCTTTACATTTTTATAAACTCCCAGAGGGCAGGGTCTACCCAACACCGAAGGTCTCATCCTTCCAGCAGATAAAGTGGCTGGCCCCCAAGAGAATGAAGACTAGAAGAGCACCAAGGCACTGCAATCCACAGATAAGGTAATCTCAGGAGGACCACCTCCTCCTTCTCCCTTTTTTTAAACAAAGTAGACTACAAGATGTTTCAAAACTCCTGGTCTCTTGCTAAGAAGAAAAACAATAACAAAACAAGTAGGGGATTAAGGAGAACATAATAAAAGAGAAAAAATTAAAAGGAGAAACCACAGACTGTATAGTCAGCAGAGAAAAATCCCACCTATGGTTGACATCTAGTACCGACTGAATGCAAATTCAAACTGAACAGAGATCTCTTGGCAGCACCACTGTTCTCAGGCAATGAGAACAGCGGGGGATACTTACGATGCTGGTCGGTCTTGTCGGAGGTCAATGGTGAAGACAACCGCATCTTCACCAGCAGATAGGAAAGTACAAGGGGAGTCTGGCTCCAGGGCCAACTATGGAAGACAAAAGAAAGGTGCTGTGTATATAAAGATCATAGTCAGAGGTTCATGTAGTCCATTCCCCTATTTCTAGGCTAGAATGAATAGCACAAAATGTCACAAAACAAGAAATGTCTACTCGCTAAAGAGATAATTTCAGCCTGTTCTCCCTTTCCTTGTATCAGAAGGTTGGTGTTTTGTATATACTGAAAGAGGTGGCTTACTTGATCTAGAGGAATACAGGAACATTAATGATGAGAGAATTAAGGAAATCAACATTGGCCCCCACGACCCTTTCTCAAATGAATTAAATTCAACAACTCAGGAGTGAGGGTGAGGGTGCAGAAAGAGAGAGAAGGGCTGAGATTTACTCTCTTCATCTTACAAAGCTCAGGTAGTCAAGAACGAGGATAGATAACAGGCATTTCTACTACTTTCTAATCTATCATAGCCAGATATTACAGGAGTAACCCCTAAAGAGATCTCTGGGTCTATAACTATCTACTTAGAATTTTGGTGACAAAGATGGGAAAGTTCCTAATTTCAATGGCTGAAAAGATCATTGTGCTTGCCCCGGGGTGTGATGGCTGTAGCCATTAACACGATCTTACCATGACTGCCTGGCCTACATTACCTGCTCTAAATATGGCTCCTGGAAACACAGTGCTATTTGTAAGCTATCTGTAAGAACAGAAGTAGAACTCTCACATGTGATCAGTCATCTACTTACACCACAGTGCTATTAAGATACTCTGAAGAACTGAGGAGAATGGAAAGTGTGGGAGAACCCAGCGATACAGTTCAGCATGGGGGTTAATCATTATCATTCATGATACAGAGACACAACCCTCTACTCTTGAAGATATTCTCGGTCCATGAAAATAATAGCCGTTCCCTCATTCTCCCCTCTTACATTACAAAATAGAGGATGGATAAGCAGGTACTCAGTTTTGCTTTGTAAGGCAAAGGGGAAATAGAGATGGGAAAGGGACTTAACTGAGTTACCAAGAGTCAAGGAAGCGTCACAGAATTTCAGAGTTGGAAGGGACCTTTTGGTAGTCATGCAGTCCTACTCATATTTGAAAAGAAATCCTCAAAACATCATATCTGAAAAGTTATCTTCCAGTCTTTGCTGGGAGACCTCTAGCAAGGTGCAACCTGCTAACTTCCCACGGTAGCCTGTCCATTTTGGGATAGTTCTAAGTGTTAGGAAGTTTTTCTTCACATCAAAACTAATTTGCCTCTGCAATTTCCACCCACTACTTCGAGTTTTATCCTCTGTGGCCAAGAAGAGAAAGTCCAAGCCTTCATCTTTGAGACAGCCCTTCGTATACTTGAAAATAGTTATCATATACCTCTAAGACTTCTCTTCTCAAGGTTAAACTTTCCCACTTGTTTCAACCAATCCACATGTGCTCCTTTATTATCTTGGATGCCCTTCCTCTGGACACTCAGATCCAAACACAATACTCTGGATCAGAGATTCTTAAGCTGAGGGTCCGTAAACCTTGGTTTTTTTGTTTCTGCTTTTAAAAAAAATTATAACAACTATTTTAACGTAATTGGTTTCTGCTGTAATCTTATGTATTTTATTTTATGCGTTTAAAATCATTATTCTGAGAAGGGGCCCACAGGCTTCACCAACTGCCAAAGGTGTCCATGACACCAAAACAGCTAAGAACCTAACTGGTATCTGATCAGGGGAGAGCAGGGAGGGACTCTAACCTCCCTAAGCCCTAGAAGCTATACCTCTCTTAATGTAACGTAAGAGTGCAATAGCTTTTTTGGTTACCACTTCATGCTGTTTACTCATATTGAGCTTTCAGTCTATCAACAGGCTCAGTCTTTTTCAGATGAGCTATTATCTAGCCATTACTCTCCAATCTTACTCTTGTGAAGTTAATTTTTTTTAACTTAAGAGTAACACTGTAATTTACCCCAATACTACTTAATCTTATTTGAATAAACCCAATATTCTGGCCCTTCAAAATCTTTCAAGTCTTGTGTTAGCAATCTCTCTCCACTTTGTGTCCTGAAAAATATGCTATCTATGCCTTTAGCCAAGTCTTTGATAAAAATGTTAGACAGCATAGAGCCAAGGTTTCCTGTAGTACTCTACTGAATACTTCTTTCCAAAGTGACATAGTGGGACAGCTAGGTGGTGCAGTGAATAGAGCACCAGTTCTGGAGTCAGGAGGACCTGAGTTCAAATGCGGCCTCAGACACATAACACTCACTAGCTGTGTGACCCTGGGCAAGTCACTTAACCCCACTGCCTAGCCAAAACAAACAAACAAACAAAGTGACATAGAACCATTAATGACTTCCCTTGGGTATCAGACATTCAACCAATCTTGAATCAACCGAATTATACCATCACCTAACTCGCTTTCTCCATCTTTTCTAAAACACATGCATAATATTTTGTTAAATTTTTTTCAAAAATCTAGGCAAATTATATTTATAGTATTGCCCCAATATACCAGGCTAGAAACCTTGTGTAAAAAGGAAATGGGATGCTATTTTGGGATGACCTATTCTTGATGAAGCCATGCTGGTTCTCTGTGATCATCTTTTATTTATTTTTTTTTTCCCTAGAAACTCATTAGGGTATAGTTTACACATGCCATTCTCTTCCACTTTTTCAAATCAAGACAACTTGTCCTCATTTCCATTCCTTTCTTTAATCCTCCTTTTTTCTCCCCTAATATAGTTTTTTAACTTCTTTCTGCTATCCTTTCTTTTCCTAACCAGGAAAGCAGTTGACCCTTTTGACCTTATTCTCACATGACCACCCCATGCCTTTATATTCATCTTTCAATCTTTCATCTATCCTTGTTTCCATCTTCTGCAAATGGCTTCCAAAAATATAAATTGGCTAGTGAATTCCTTTTGCATCAATAGCAGTATCTTTAAACAACTAACCATTTTTCTCCTCCTAAGAATTGTTTCTCTTGGTGTCTCCAGAATTTTATTCTTGAGAAGTTCTCATCCCTCTTAGGTTGAATATAGAATTTTAGTTTATGGAATCCTGTCTTTTTTTCCTCTGAACCCTTTGAAATTTGCTCACCAAAAACTTAAAATGCATGTCAGGATATTCTTAGCTTTATTCTCCTCCTATCACAAATTCAAATACAAAAGGTCACTTCCCCCAAAGTTTCTATCATTTCTGTATCAGCAACTAGTTCTTCCTTGTTGGGAAGGATCAGCTTTAAAATAGCATTTCTCCTTATTATTTCCTCCAACTTCTGAAGGATGAAATTATCATAAAGGCAAGACTGTGGAGGACTAGAAGGTTACCTTATGGGAGGCTCCCTTGTGCTGGGCAACACGCTTGGTGTTCTTGCAGCACTGTGTGGCGGACAGCTCTGCTACCCGCACCTGCCCATCACGGGCACACATGGCAAGAGTTGAATCACCACTGTTGGGAAGAAACTTGGCCTAGATCATGTAGGATAGGAAAAGGAAAAAGGAAATCAAGACTTATTAAGGTGGGACAAGTCATGACAATGGCCCTAGCAGAGTCTTTTTTTATTCAGTAGGTGAATGAACTGCATCAACCTAGAGACTGAGAGCTAAGCTCTCCTCCTTATACTGCTGGTTATTACAAAATTACTTCTTTTTACAGTTTAGGATAAAGGCAAAGGAAGATGGGGAGAGTGGGGGCTTCCAGGGTGCTGGATTATTATATAATGATAAAAGTGCTTAAGTAAACTGAGGAACAGATTCATGGTAGGAATAAAGGAGAAAATAGGGTGTGAGAGAATTAAGAAATACAGCAAGGAAAGAGGAAAAACCTAAATCCTTTTCTTGATTCTAGAAATAAATCAAACAAATTTCCAAGGAGAAACTACCTGGAAGGGGAGTGGTTAGGCAAGGAAGATAATGCTTGGGGAAAGTAACACCACTCATGTATTTTGGGGATAGTGGGTAAATTATTCTGGGGATCTAAGTATATTTAATGTGTTCATTATGAATTCCAAGCACACTGTATACGAGTTCTCCCATTCTTACCAGATACAGGGAAAATAGAGGGGAGTTTCCTCACAAGATCACTCTGTAGCTAGAACACAGGAATTCCAAAACTTTTGCTATATTAGAACCATCTTCATCTTACCAAAGAATCAGATGCAGGACCTAGGAAGCCCTAATTCTAAACCCCACTACAGACAGGAAGATAGTAAGTAAAAGCTTTGGCTTTAATTTCCAACTGACCTGGACAATCATATACTATTTCTTTCTCTGATGCTACTATCATAATGTTCCCGACTCACCTGGAAGACATTGCTTTTGTGGCCACTTTCAAAATCCAACACAGGTCGCCTCCGAACCCAATCCCACACCACCACCTTGAGGTCATCGCTGCCACTGGCCAGCCAGGTGCCACGCTGGTTAAAGTGCAGGGTGTTGACACAACCAGTGTGGCCCTCTAGCCCATGTTGCAGGCGGAAGCGCTGCACAAAGACTCGTGCTCCACAAGCTTCATACACAAAACGAGCACTTGAGCCCAGCTCCCTCTCTCTCAGGGCTGGGAGGGCCTGCCAGCGGGGCCGGGGCAGAGCTGATGTCTCTGAGGCCACCCAGTCCTCAAGGGCTCGTTCATCATCTGATGAGTCGTGTTCACGATTGGCCCGTTTGCGCTGAACCCGGCGCCGGGGCTGCTCTTCTTCCTCCTCCTCTTCTTCCTCCTCCTCCTCCTCCTCTGAGCGGTCATGGACCCGGTTTTCATCATTAATGGAGTAGTGGCCAGTGTCCTCCATGCTATCAGAGTCCTTGTCTTCACCTGAGCTCTCTGTGTCTGTGCCTCGGCTTTCGGTGCTGGTGCGGTTGGGGCCACCCCCATCATCCCCGGTTAGGCTCAGGCTTAGGTCTGAAGCCTCGACCTCAATGCCTGAGGATGTTTCTCTCCCCTCTTCTGTCCCAGACATTTCCTCTGGACTGCTGGATAAGCTTCCTATGTGGGAGAGGGGGGAGTAGAAAAGATATCATGTAAGGAGTCAACAGGGGCCACAGCTTCAGTTTAGGAAATCCTAACAATGGGCTCAGGAACCTAGTTTGGCACTCTCATCCCATGAGCTTAAGAACAGTAATTTCCAGGGGCAGCTAGGTGGCGTAGTAGATAGAGGACCTGAATTCAAATCTGGTCTCAGACCAAACTGACACTTACTAGCTGTGTGACCCTGGGCAAGTCACTTAACCTCATTGCCTCGCCCAAAAAAAACCCAAAACAGCAATTTCTTAAAGAATGACTTCAACCCTGTGAGGCTGGTTTGAATTTCATCATGACCACTTGGACTGAGAGGTTAAGTGGAGGGCTCAAGAGAGAATAAGTGACAGAAACCACACCTGAGTTCAGACATGTCGATTCTAAATCCAACACTCCTCCTTATGCCACACAGCTGGGCCCACACCATAAGCACTCTGACCTAGATGGGTGCATAAATGCTGGCCAAGAATCTTGGGGAGTACTTGGCACATCTCCTCAGGGTCCTACTGCATGGGTATTGTTTAGCTCTACCTGGCACATCACTAATGAAGGAAGACAATAAAAAATATCCTCATACAAAGTCTTAAGCATGACAAAGCAGCTCTCTTTTGCAAGAACTGGTTTAACCATTCCTCTCGTAAGGGAAGAGAACTGCTCAATTGAAGTCTCCTGATTGCCAAAGAGGGAGTTGTACTAGCTCCTAATTAAGGAAATCACCACCATCTTCTATTTCCTACATTTCCCTATCTCCTGTTAGGATATTTTTTATCTTCTTCCACCATCCCCCTCTTTATTGGAAAGAAATCCCAACAAGTAATCTGACTTACATGGGCATAACACAGGAGCAAGCAATAAAGATGAGTGGGGGAAAGTATGCATTCTCTAATTCTGTTAGTACTTGTATTTCTTAGTTCACTATACTTCCACTGAGACTGCCATGTTGGGAATAATGAAATAACTGGGTCACATTGGTAGATCAAATTTCCAGGAAATAGATACTGCATGAGCCCATCTTATTCCAATCAGTACTTGGATAGTATGCAAAATACCAATACCTCTACAACTCCTAACCTAAGGCCCAAATGGGAAGAAAACAGAGAGAAGGAAAGACAGATGAGGACAGGAATGGGCTTAAGTTCATCCCTGAAGGCACGAAGAGAGCTTCATGTACAGGTCATAGCCTGCTTTCACTTGGTTGCAGGTCTGGCCCCCAGAATCACATAATCACAACCAAAAGTTGCCAAGAATGGCAAAATTTTTCAGAACAACCCCCCAATCTGGACCAAGAACTTGAAACTGGTGTGAGATCCCACCTTACTAATAATGTCTTAAGGGATTTGGACCAGAGGGTAGAGTAAAATCAAAAAATTACTTAGGAGGGACCAGTGTGCTCTGTAGTTAACAATTCAGTTCCTTTCAATGGTAAATATGGCTGACGGTGGAAGTGGACAAGAATATCCTAACAGGTTGACACAGAATAAAATAAATAAATTTGTTTATTATTTGGCAAATAAATGTTTGCCAAACAAAATTGCAAAACCTTTTGCACCCTGTCATTGTAATGATTAATAAAAATTCAGACACAAATCTGAATTCCATTGGAGCCCCAACATCTCCTGGTTGAGGCCCTCAGTAATCTAACAATTCAACATGAATCGACTGCCATAATGTACTACAGCTTCAAACTTCTCTGCAACCTCAAACCTCACAATACTCAAGTCTAGTCAGAAAATCTCACCTACCTTCTCTTACAGAAGTTAAATGGAAGCAGAAAAATGGCTCAAAGGATCAAGAAGTAGAACCAAAGTCAGCCACAGACACCCTTCTTTAACTTACACTTCACTCCCTTTATGCAAAGCAAAGGAACTGGAATTTGGCCAGTATACTTGAACTGTAAGGTATGAGACATGTTGGAATCTCTGTTTCCTCCATCTGAAGAAGTTTTTTCTAGACAAGTCTACTAGGCCTGACCAGACAGCTACCACAAACTTGTCAGCAAGAGTCTATTCTGATCATCTGCAGCGTATGGACCTAAGCAGTGCCACAGGCATTAGAATTTTATGGTGTTCTGTTGTCAACTTTGCCTGGTGCCCAGTGCTTTACAAACTGGTGGCACTGACCTTGAAAAAAGAAATCTTGTTTCCATTGCCTAGGTTTGTAACTTCATCTCCATTTAATCTCCCTGGGTGGTTTGTGCTCTGGGATGAAAAAGAATTCCCCAGTGTAAACATTAGCAATCCCCAACCTCCCAACAAAGATCCCCTAGTTCCCATCATTGAAGGCATATTCTAGTACTTTTTTAACTTCATCATCTAAGTTTACCTGTTCCCATATTCTCTCACAACTTTTCAGGAGTCCAGAAATAAGTCCTTTGGCCTCTCAGAGAAGTTTTTATGTTCTCAACACTTTCTGAGATACTCAGATAAGAGTTGAAGAGTAAATAGAAAGTAAAGTTCTTGTTTCCTGTATTCAAAACAACTTGAGGTCAGTTCACTTTAAGGAAAAATGATCTTCACTCTACTATTCAAGGGAAGTAAGACACCTCTAGGGTGAATTTAAATTCTTCCAATAACTGTCCACAAAGCCCCAGTGACAGTAAAGAACATTTTTCTTCTTCCTTGGCACCTTACCATTCGCAAGGTCTGTTTTGCCATCTGTGCTGCTCCCTTTACCAGACATCTTGAGTTGTATTTGTTGTAGCCAGCCTGGACTTAGGAGAAGAAAATGCAACAATTAGGAAACAATCAACCCTAGGGAGGACAGAAGAGAATCAAGGAGGTACAACAATCTTTGTCATATTCAGAAAAAAAAATTTTTTTTTTTTTGGTTTACTTAACAAGGCTTCTCAGACAAAATACACAGCCTAGGCTTTTTTGGTCTAAACCCAGAAAAGGAACAGATCTTTGGTGGGGCTAACCACCATTTCTTTGCCTTGCTCACTGAGTAACTGCTCATGTCTTTGAAATGGGGGAAAAGAAAACTGAAATAGAATCTGGAATGGTGGACAAATAGCAAATGACAGGTAGTGCCAACAGAGAGCCCTAAGTTAATGAAAAATGCTGGCTTCTGCATTTACCTCTAGACTCTAAGAATTATTTGTCATAAAAACTAGTCAAACATAACCACAAGACTTGGGAAAACTCTCATGTTCATGTATGGGAGTCAAAGTTAGATTTGGAAACTCATTTTATACATGAAGCAATTCAGGTTTTTCTAGGTAGAAGCCTCTTTATATTCTACTCAAATGGCTGGTTCCTAGCCCATTACAAACAGTAAGCTATTAGTTGATAAGTGATAGAGACTTGGGTAAGAGGAGAATCAGAGCTGGAATTAGAACCTCAGAGCTCCTGACTTCCAGATCAGAGTGTGAAAGGATAACCATAACCATTTCTCTGGGGCTCTAATTAAAGTAATGAAACAGAAAGTAAAGAAAGAAAAAGTAAGTTTTTGAATAACAATGGCCAATATTTCTACAAATCCTCTCCTCTAATCCCTTTTTCTTAGCCCATTTTGTATGACAGCAGCTATACTTTTTTATTAAAGCAACAATCCCTAATCTTGGTCTACCTAGGAGTAAAAGATAACTGGATTTTTTTTTCTTTTATATCACTGCAACTTTAGGCACCAGCCTCTTGTTCTCTGGGCCGCATTCCCACCTCCCAAAAGATCCATAAAAAGCAGAGAATACTACATGTTCAGATCAGAATTGTAAAAAAGCCCTTTCAGTGCCTTAGACAAAAGGCAGTGGAGAAAAACAAAGTGTGATTATGACCCTGGTCCCTGTCCCCAGGCACAGTGGCCTGTGATCTTTCAACAGCCCTTTCATTCCCATCACAATCATCCTAGAAGCAGTCCCATCTTTACCATCATCCCCACCCCCATTCTTCTAAGTAGCTTCCCAAAGTGTTTTCCAAGAGACAGCTGCCCAAACATTACTGATAGTTGGGGAGAGAAAAAATATGCAATGACAAGACAGATGTTGAATTTGAAAGAAGGATACCTGAAGTCTGTCTATTGAAGCAATGTCAAAAGAAATCAGATTTCTAGAGGCATAGAAGGAAAAATACCATACAGAGAGAACAGGAGAGTGTTTTCCAATGTGATCTGATTTCTTCCGCTCTCTTCCATGGCTGTACTTTTTCCAAATGTCCTTGACACTGCACGTGCTTCCCAGCCCAATAGTCCTGTTTAATGTTGTGCAGCATCCTTCCTCCATACTCAGGGTTTTACTGCTACTTTCATCAGATAAAATAGTCCAAAAAAGTAGGGAGAGAATACCCCATTTTGGAAGATGCAAAACTGAGCTATGAAACAGAAAGATGTTTGCTTAAGCTGACATGGAGAACTGAAAGTAAAACTGGCAATTAAAACTCATATTCTACAATACCTATCAGTTTCCAAATAAACTTGGGGTTGGAAGTGACCTAAAAGGTCATCTAAGTCCAACTCATACCTATGCAGAATCTCCTCTACATCTCCAACCTATTAAGTCAGAATTGTGCATAGTCTCCTGTATTTCTATATCACACCAACCCACTACAGTCTCTGAAAAGAAACAAATGAAGCCCTAAGATCAGATCCCACTTAGCACCCCTGAGAGGACTGAACTTCAGATCCTTCTTGCTCACACAAAAAAATCATGTGGATGCAATACTGGCAGATCAATTAAAAGTAAAGAATGATGATAATGGATAAATAGCCTTTATGACTGCCTGTCAAGTCCAATGGCTTCTTCTAAGTCTTTGCCCTCCTTGACCCCCCTGCAGCATTTAATACAATTTACCCCCCTCTCCTGAATACTCTTGTCTCCCAAGACATCACACTTTTCTGGTACTCTAACTCCCTTCTCTTTCTCCACTATTATTAGCTCCTCAACCTCTTCCTAATCCCTTAATGTTGGCATTCTGCAAGATTCTTAACTTTCTCTTTTCTGTACTCTGATCCTAGGAAATCTCATTAACTCCCAATATTCTAATTATCTCCTCTATACAGATGAATACTAAATGTCTAACTTGTATCTCCACCTGCCTCCAGGACATTTCAATTACTCTACAACCATTCTATAAACACCAATGATGCACCAGGCCCTTAAGACACTAGAGATACAAAGATTAAAATGAGACAGTCTCAGCGCTCAAATATACATTCTATCAGAGGAGACAAGAATAGGGACTAGATGGATGATTTCACTGATAGAGCGAGCTCCCAGCAAAGTTCCTCTCCCAATGCAGGTTGTCCAATTTATAGTCTTAAGAGTTGCCTAGGGGGGCAGCTAGGTGGCGCAGTGGATAGAGCACCGAACCTGAAGTCAGGAGGACCCAAGTTCAAATCTGTCCTCAGACCAAACATTTGACACTTACTGTGTGATCCTAGGCAAGTCACTTAACCCCAATTGCCTTAAAAAAAAAAGAGTTGCCTAGAACAATGAGAGGTTCAGTGACTTATTCAGAATCACACAGCTAGAATGGGTCAGAGGTAGAATTTGAACCAGGTCCTCAACCTGGCACTGAGGCCAGCCTCCTCTCTATCTACTATACTGCCTGACATCTATAAATATATACAGAACATACACAAAATAAATATAAGACAGTTTGAGGAAGGAGGGCACTAGCTGCTGGAGGAAATCAGGAAAAGCATTATGCAGGAAATGGCTCCTGACTGAGTCTTAAAAGAAATAAAGGATTCTAAGAAGTGAGAGTACATTTCAGGCACAGAAGAAAACGAGTGCAAAGGCACAGAGATAGGAGATAGAATGTCATGGGTAAGTAAGAGCAAGAAGGCCCATTTAGCTGGACTGTAGCATGTAAGAAGTGGTATAATATAGAAGGCTAGAAAGATAAGTTGGTGCCAGGTTATGAAGGGGTATAAATGACCAAACAGAAGAAGTTATATTTTTTCTAGAGGCAATAGAAAGTTACTGGAGTTTAATTAGCTAGAAAATGACATAAGAAGACCTGAACTGAAGGAAAATCACTTTGGTGGCTATGTAAAGAATAGCCTGGAGTAAGAAAAGACAAGTGGCAGTCTAAAAGTTCTGCTGGTACCTCAACCCAACCCACAGTTGTCTTTAAAGTATAATAAGGGCTGTCATGTGGAAAGATTAGACTTGTTCTGCCTAGCTCCAAAGGACAGAATCAGAATCAACATGTAATAGCTAAAATAAGGCAAGTTTAGGTTCTGTATAATGAAAAACTTCCTAACTCTTGTACTTTGCCAAAGTAGAGTGGCCTGCTCTAGTAGTAGTATCCCCTCACTGGAGGTCTTTATGCAAAGGCATGAATGAGTTGAATCAGAAGAAGGGATTCTTCCTAAGGTAAAGATTGGACTAGAAAGCAACTAATGTTCCTTCTAACTCTGAATTTCTGTGATTCAGTTGTTTTCCCAATTCTCATTACTATTCCTCTAGGGTCATACTGGCTTGGATGGCAAGGGAGTGTCAAAAGTCCAATTTCATACTCAATGATAAATATTGTTTATGTGGTTATAAAGCTAGACTTGTTTTAAGTAAGTCAGTTCAGGTCCTTTGTAGGAAGAGATCCTTGATAAAAAATATTGATAGAATTAACTGCTGAAGGCAAAGTTGGGGAAAAGGAGGAGAGCAAGAGAGAATCCAGTGAACGATTTAACATTTGCTAACTAGATAGTTGGATAATTTGAAGACTTACTGTCTGGGAACATCTAAAGGTCAAGACCACCCAATAATGGGAAGAATTGATTATGTAGTCTCCAGCAGTTGCTTTTCAGGCACTAGAGTTTGGCAGAATTAGCACTGGATTGGGCATTAAAAGCCCCAATTTCAAGTTCCACCAGGGAATGTGTAAACTTGAGCCTTTCAGCAGCACCTCAATTTCCTTTTGGGATCAAAGCCCTAGAGAAAAAAAGTAGTGCTATGGAAAGACAATAAAAATGCAAACCTTATCTTTAGAACAGGTAGTTATAACTCAGGCACAAAGAAACACAAACTTCAGGCACGAAATGATAGTATGTTTATTTACACAGTGCATTAGCATTTACAAAGCACTTTGTACCCATTATCTCCTTTGATATTTGTAGCAACAGTATGTGGCAGACCATATGTTGTATTACATCTCCATTTTATGGAAGAGTATGAAGTATTACATTCCCTTTAGAGAGATGATAAAATTGACCCAGAGAGGTTAAACGAAGGTCATATGTAGGCATGAAATTCAGGGCTTTTGATTCTAGTACTCTTTCTACCAGGCCTCAGTGCCTTTCAAAACAAAGAAACCTAAAACCAACTAACAACTAAGGCAGTAGGGTTCAGAGGGAGACTAATTGCTTGAATTGGAAGCAGGCCAATATGCTGTATTTGTGACTCTGAACTGTTACAGAACTACCATGCAACATAATCCTAGTTTCTAATTTCCAGCTAAAACTCACACTTGCCCAAATTCACTGTTCCCTCCTGAAACTTTTATCCCATTCCCAGCAATATCTAGGTTCACCTTGAACATCTTCCATATTAATACCAATTAATGCCAACCATGCTGCTTTGAGAAGAGCTCCTGAGCTCTATGCTCCAGGTAACTGGGAAGTTTAATTAGATTAACTCTACTGTGGATATGTTCTAAAAATAACCCCCACCAAATTGAAAATTAACTAGTAAACTGTTAGGGAAAAAAGAAAATCAGAGGCCATTTTAATATCTATTTTAGGATTTCCAGTGACCCTGACATCATATCTTAATAGAACAAGGTTTTCAAACATTAACCAACATATGACAAAACATTAACTAAATCCAAGCATAGGCAGAAACAGAGTACAGGGTAAGAAGATTCATGTGTGCAGAGCCATCGAGCCATTTCTTGTTCAAAAGCACAGGGACTACTTTCTTGTACTGATAGCAACAAGAGAGATCTGCACAAGAAACCATGTTAAGGTAGGATCAGGTAAAATTCAACAACTGAAAACTTAAAAACTAATAAGACCAAAGAGATTAATGGGAGTTGACCAAGGTAACCTGCATGTTACAATGATCAAAAAAGTCAGAAGCTAGGTCTCCACATCAGGAATGAGGAAGCCAGGAGAACTTCTATTTCAATAAAAGTCTCCACTCAGTCTAATCAGAAGCCCTAGTAAGACTCAATATCTCCCAGCTCTTCATTCCTTATTGTCAGTGATGATGAATGATATCCAAAATACTTACTTAAGTGAAGTAGCATAGAAAGAATGCTATGAATTTTCCATTTTTATTCTTATCTGTTCATTGTCTAATTTCTTTTGAATACTTGTTGAACTGCCAGAAGTGGTGGTACAAAGTTGTAATCCCTGCTGTCAGAGAGGCTGAGGCTGGTGAATTACTTGAACTAAGAAGTTCTGAAATGAAGAAGGACTAAGCCCAGCACCAATAAGATAAGTCCCTAGGCCTGGAGGACAAACAGGCTGCCCTCCAGGCTATTGCTTGAACAGTGCACTGGCCCAGGTTAGAAAAAGAGAGTAAGTCCAAAAGTCCAAGTCGATAAGTACTGAGATCAGGCCCATAAATGACCATTGAACTTACAGCCTGGGTGAGATAAAGAGACTCTTTCTCAAAAGTTAAAAAAAAATGTAAAAAAGCAAAAAGCACCAAATGTCTGTTGAATTAAATTGAATTTCAGATCTAGGATTCACACTAACTGGCCTGATAATCTTTCCCTTAGTTTCAACAGATACAAATATCAAGAAATTAATGTTGCATTTCATGTTATCATTAAGATAACTCTATCCCCAACCCTGATCCCCTAGCCCTGACACACACATACTTAGTAAATCAGTCCAATCTCTATGTTCTACAATATTCTCAGTATTCCCTAGTTCGGTCTTGCCCAACACTGCCCCATTCTGATTACCTGGTGGTTTAAAAAGAATCTGAATGACAGAAAACTTTGTAATTTGCTCTAAAAATCAAAGGGTGAGTGAAGAGGAGACTTCAATTATTAATAAGATAGGAATCTGAAAGCCATCCAGTGTCTGGATCCTCTTGGGAAGGTAGATATCTTATACTGTTGAAGGCTGAACAGCTGTTTGTGACTGATCTAAAACCAAAGTCCAAATTCGCTTTTTTGTCATACACCCCACATTCCATCTGGAATCAACCAGTCCTCCCTTTTCTGCAGCCCTAACTATTGCTTTGTAGTAGAACTGATTCATTTAAAATCTACTCTTCTCATCCCTTTGCTTTCTATATCATAATCAAAACCACAACTTCTAAGGAATGTTACTAAGGCTAAACAGCACAGTAAATAGTTACTATATAAGATAAAAGCTTTATATAGCAATACTGATGAGGTGACCCAAATGTTATTTAAAAATATTCTATTGAGAGAGGTGGTCCCTCAGTTCAGAATAGTAGCCTAAAGTTTCAACTCATATTGACAGTTCTAGAGAGAGAAGAAAACCTATACCTATCACCTGCTGGAGTGGAAGGGCAGAAAAAAAGAGTTCTAACTGTTAAGGAACTGGGGGAACTAAGCTTACTGTTCTACCATAAACACCACAATAGTATATCAACTATGTGACTTCAGATTCAATCCAAACGATAGGTTTTTACCACCCCCCAGTGGCCCAAGTGGATACCCACAGGTTATTTCCCCAAGAAACTATCCCAGGCATCAGGTCTGGAACAGGACTTTTTTCCTCTAACAACAAAAAAAAAAAAACAAAACAGAATTTGACTCTAAATACAAAATACATCGTTCTTTTTAAATAAGTTGGTTCACAATTCTTTGACAATCATTTTTCTTAAAAAAAAAAATTCAAACTACATTGAGACTTAAAAGAATTTCATGGTGGGTTTCCTCCACCATTCCCACACCCCACCCCTACCTTATTCTCAGGCTGTTTGGGATCCTGAATGTGTTCTTCCAGACTTCACATAAATTATTTATGTTCTAAAGAGGAAAAAAAAAAAGGCAGCTCTTTCAATTTATCTATTTTACTATATGGACCTATTTCTAGATTTCTACCTATCGGTATCATACTAGGTTGCCTACAGTAGGCTGTACTACTCTGATGCTTAGTCCTCCAAGCATTACACTCAACACTAAACATAGGCAAAGCCTAAGAAAATCCTGGTGCCAGATTCAAAACTGTCCTTAAAATCTCCAGAAAGCTTTGCTGTGATTTTCACGGAAAGTCTTATACTTTCTTGAAATTGGAGGAAAAGAAATTTTCTCCATGGGGTCCACCATATAAACATCACTCTTTCGTTGTCTTCAAGTTCTTTTTTGACTCTTGAAGATCTATAATATACCCAAGATGAAGGCCCTTAAAGCAGTGTCCCAGTAAGAACCCCTATAGGGAGTTATCTACTAATCCAAAATGAGTTAAAGAATGAAATAAGAAATGGAGTTCAGTACCAATCACACAGTCAAATCAAATTATACGTATATGTGTGTCTGTGTGTTTGTAGCTAAGTTTTTTCTCAGTACCTCAGCTAAGCCACAAGCCAGATGCCTGTTTTTTCCTTTCTCTATGTAGGACCTCCTCTCTCTGTTCAAATCACCAGCTCTTCTTTCAGAACCTTCTCCCTATGTGGTTACAGCTTTTTGTTCCTTATACTAACTACAGTGTCCCAGACGGAATGCCAGGCTGCACTGTAACCCTAGGAGCAGAGGGAGCCCCTGTGAGAAGGTCTACAAACTCTTAAAAATAATGATGCTCAGGTTCCCTCACTTCAATATAAAGGATCCTAGACCAAATAACTTCTCAGTTTTCCATTTTGTTTCTATCAAGGAACTCTAAGAAGTTAAAGAATTGATGGAAACTCCAGTTTCTATGCACAAATTGGCTGCAATAATTTTTTTCAATAATTTTCCAAATATATCTCAGGCAAAGAAACATTGCCCAGGGGTAATGAAGAGCAAAAGCCCTGCATCCACCCAAAGGTAGAACTCATAGGAAAACAACCAAGAAGAAAATGAAAGCCAAGAACATCTAGAAAAGTCACTCCTACCTTTGTCATGTTAGAGGACAAAGTCTAACGCTTGAGTAAGGGTCACAAAACACACACCTGAAAAATACAGCAGCAAACACAGCAAGCAGGAGGTTGGGAGCTAAACCAAGATAAGAAAAACTCCTATTGGCAAAGGCAGGGCCCACTGCAACTTTTCTGGCTATGTAAAGAGGAATAAGGAAATAGAGAAATGATAGGACAGAAAGGACACTGGTGATTCAGGTTGAAACAAAACCAGAGCTACCTAAACTAATGACAAGCACCTTTGTTATTCTTTGGCTCTAAAATTAAAATTAAAAAATTGTAATAGTAGGAAAAAGCAGTGTGGGTGGAGAACTAGCCTCAAAGCCAGGAAAACCTATGTTTAAGTCTTGCCTTGGACATGTATAAACCTGGGAAAGTCACTCTCTATGTCCCAAGCAATTCTCTAAGTTGACGATAAGGTGCTAACCTAAATTAGTAGGAGTTTCTTCACCAAGGAGTTCCCTATACCAATAACATCACAAGGCCAATCTCTGTTCCCATACTACTTTTCAACTCAAAATTTTAAAGAATTTGAAACATGCTATACATATAATTCTCTCATCCATAAAGACTGCCAAAACTCTATACTTGTCCATTCTCCAATTACTTTAACATTCTCCTAAGAGTCAATACTGCTTCTAAAAAGTTAGGAAGTGTTTGCTTACTCCCACTGGAAGAGAAAACTTGAATCAGTTACCAAGAGAGGACTTTTTCCGTGTGACTGTAATAGGAAAGCAAAGTATCCTAAGTCAGATCAAGATTAAGCAATCAACTAAATTACCATGCTTATGAAGGGCAGTTTTAAAATAACACTAAAGGGTCTATCTAAAAAACCCCGTTGATCTATGGGGTCTAATATAAAAAAGTCCAGTGATATGTGATTGTACATAGACAAAACCTTTCTTTTCCATGCCTGGGGCTGAGTATCTTTGTTGCCTAGGTCCTAGCTGGCTGAAGGCTGAGTAGGGATGAGGCCCTACCTTAACAAGGATAATCTGTAAAACTGCTGCAAATAAGTAAGAGTTGACTCTACCACCATAGTCAATGTGTCAAGAATATTACACCAAATAGCTTTGGAAGTGAAGTCAAACTTCTCTGTTCCTATTCCAAAAATAATATAATTCCATGGCACTTTACAGACATAACATCCTCATATCTAATATTCTTACAACCCCGTAGGCTTTATTATTCACATAGGAAGCAGATTCAAAGAAGTCAAGTGATTTGACCAAAGTAACACAATTAAGTGACAGACTTGGGAACTAGGTCTTCTGAATCTAAGTCCAGGGCTCTTTCCACTATACGAGGGTGGAAAAGCTCTTAAGATACTTTCTGAAGAACTGTCAGCATAGTGGGAAGAAAGATGTACTTGGAATCTTAAGAAATGGGTTTGAGTTCTGGCTATGACCACTTCTGTGGGCCTCAGTTTCTTCACCTGAAAAATAAGGGGATTTCATTAGGTCATTTCTAAGGTTCCTTCTACCTCTAACATTTGTGATGCTGATTCAATCTACATACGAATTTTTTTTAACTGTCATCACTGGAACTTTATACCAACTTGATCTACATTGGTATACACATTCTTATTTTTTAAGTCTCTTTAGTAGTTAATCCTCCATTAAGTCTGAAGCTTCCTCATGAAATGAAGGTGACCCATGGATTCTCAAAGGCTATGCTGCGAAGGTGTTTCATTCTGGCAGGTCCTACCAAGCTATAAAGATTTGAGTAATAAACTGTATATCTAATCCTATCTTTTACAGGAAGCCTCTCCCAACCCTACTTAATTCTAATGACTTCCTTCTTTTAATTACTTTGTTTTTCTTCTTTATAGAGCTTGTTTGTGCATATGTGTATGCTTGTGGTCTCCCCCATTAGACTGTGAGTTCCTTGAGGGCAAGGATTATCTTTTGGCTCTTTTTGTATACTTAGGGCTTAGCACAGTGCCTGACACGTGGAAGACACTTAATAAATTTTTTTTTGTCTGACTGACTAATGTTCCAAGGATCGGTGCAGTTAAAGTCAGAGAGACTCATCATTAAGTTGGCCACAGTGTAATGAATTTTTTGGCTGTAATAATTCTTAAAGACTACCTACTAAATTTATAGAGAGATTACAGTGAAGAGCATACCCACAATGACAAAATAATAAATTAACAGAAATATCAAATTGTCTTCAACAAGCCCTTGTAGAAAATGTGTCCTAAGCCCTGAGAGATTTCTATAGCCTGCTCTCATTAACACATTATTCCAGGTACAAAGTTATTAGAGTATCTTGAAAATCAGAAAAAGCCTGATCAAGAGGAAATAAGGTATAGGACAAATAAGGTATAGGACAAGAGCACTGAAGTCAGTTAGCCACGAGGGTGGAAATGGAGATGGATTCAGTAATATTTGCAAGTTAATAACTACGTGAGTCAACACAAAACACAGACTTATTCAAAGAGATGAACCTACCCATTTTAAGAGTCACATAAGAGTGGAGCCAACTGCTAACTCCTGTACTATACCACATTTCTCCAATAGTAGGGTTGAATCAAACTTTCTGGGTGATAGTTATCTGGGCATTTCTCATATACTCTAATTAGAATCACTAATTTGGATAGTAGAAACAATCTAGTGATATATATTCACATATTCACCACAGAAACAGAGGTAATAAGGCACCTCAGGAGTATGAAACTGCAAATCTTGGGTTTAGTGCAAGCCAAGTCCTGAAGAGTGGATACTTCTACAAGTTGGATTTCTAGAGCATGTTTCCTTTCAAAAAGTGCTTCTGATGTCCCAACATTCAGGACTGCTTTCTTGTTTTCACTAAATGCAGAAGAAATGCTTTCTTTTAGGTCCCAGTGTATCCAAGTGTCTATCGGGGAAAAAAAAAAACCTGTCATTTCTGTCTGATATGAGTGTCTTCACCTCTCAGCCTGGAAATTAGACCCAGGCTATTGAAAGCTATTATCCCACACAGTGGCTTGTGTGAAACAAACAGCTTTCATCCCAGGTCCTATCAACTTTCCCAGTTTTCTCCAATACCACTGTCTACTCTCCTGAGGTATGGTCAGGCAAGAAAAGAGACAGGAAAGCTTGCTTCTCCCTGTGCTATTCTCCTACTTGATAGCCCAATCTGGTTCTCTGAAGATGAAGCCATAAACTCAGAACTGGCCTCCTGTCCCCTGTTTACTTCTAAAAGAAATGACATCATTTCATGACCTAGTTCTGGGAGACGTAACCTGTTATCAGGATTGTGTTTTAAAAAAAAAAAGCTTTCTCCATTAGGGAAGAGAAGAAAATACTATTTAGGAGCACTAGAAGAAAAGAAGAGAAGGAATTACAACATAGTAAAGTTTTGATCATATGTACTAATGTAGGGAAGAAGGCCAAAACAACAAACAATTCAAATATCACTTATATTTAGCTCTGACATGCAGTCAGACACAAGCATTCACATATTCGTTATTTAATCTCAGCCTGACCCTTACAGCTTAATAGTTGGATTACAGATTTAGTATCTTACTTTTTAAAGAGTAGGAAGTACCCTTACAAGCCATCTAGTCAATACCCTCATTTTACAGATGAGGAAACTGAGGCTCTGAGAGGTTAAGTGACTTGCCCAAGGTCACAAAGGACCCTAATAGATCATATAAGGGAGGGGAGGTGCTGGGTGTTCATGAATAACTCACAAAGCAAATTCATGAGAGCTAACTAAAGAAAAAACACAATATTATTTCAGAGGAAAACTTCTACCTTTTATGGAAAGCAAAAGTATTATCTAATGGATAATTTACTTAGATCTACTGGAATGGCATATAAAGGGGCAGATTAAAAGGCTCACTGGCTATCACTGTCATGTTCAGAGGCAAGCAATCCTAGGTATTTCCCAACATGACACTCTGGGACAAGGGTTTTTAACCCAGGGTCCATGAACTTGCTTTTTGAGTATTTTCCTAAGTATATTTCAATATAATTGGTTTCTTCTGTAATCCTGAGTTTTATTTTATGCATTTAAAAACATCATTATGATAAAAGGTCCATAGGCTTTGCCAGTTTGCCAAAGGGATCCATTATACAAAAAAGGTTTAAGAACTCCCTGCTCTAGGAGATATAAAACTCATAAATCACTTTTCTTCCCCTATTACAAATACATATACACTTTGGGATCTACCAGCTGCACTGTCCAAATTCACCACCATAAAGCTCACGTAGTCTGGACAGGTCACATCACTCTCTACTTCCAGGAAAGTTAAAAGATACATACAGAAACCTCATCGACATTATTTAACATTTAAATGCAAAGTACTCTGAAGAGCACCAAAGAAACAAAGATTATAATTTTTCTATCTCTCCTTTCACCCACCACAGTCACCAAAATGGACTGTTCTGATGGATACACAGCATGATCCCTACATTCGTTAAAAACTCCCCAGACTAACCAGGAAGACCTTTTTGTTTTTAAGCAATGACTATTACCCAAAAATACTCTGGTTCTCCCAAAATGCTAAAGCTCTAAGTAATAATCCTCAAAGATCCATGGTTTTATCAGGTCTTATCATCAATGACACAGGAAGCCGATGGCTTCACAAGTTAACTGTGATGAAAAAACTCAGGAAGCCAAATTTTTGATGATAAGCTTCTCAAAATTTGATTAGCCTAGTTCTCAGGCAATAGGTCATCATCGGGCCTTTACTCAAAGCTTTTCTTGCTTGGTAGGATCTGTCAGAGTTTGAGCTCTAAAGTCCTGTAACTTTCAGAACCCAGTCACATCCATGCCAGGATAAAGAAAAGGAAGAGGGCTTTAATGAAAGGATAATAATCATAGTGGCTCAAAGTAACATAACACTTTAACAGTTTACAAAGAATTTAGGCATCAAACAGACATCCTCTTATCTCTCCCTAGTTTTGAGAGGAGCAGGTGCTGTGTTCTTCCCTTCTGACTTTAGAGGGGTAAATTCAAGACCTCAAGAAGGGAAGAGATTTAACTTGACTCAGTGGCAGAACCAGTTCAAAGGCAGACTGATTCCCAGTCTATTAACAACGTAAAATGCGGGGCAGACACCAAACAAATGAAGGAAGTCATGCACCAGCACAAGGAAGATACATTGACTTTTGGCACAAAAGGAACTGTTAGAAAGCAATACAGCAACAGTTTAGGACAGAAAACAAAGAGTCCCACAGCCAATTAAACCTGTAGAAGGAATTCTGGTTAGTCAAATATAATGACTAGAGTTGGATCAAAAAACAGGAACACCACCCTATGTTTTAGGGAAAACCTGGTAGGATGTTTATGAGCACAATGGTCAGCAACTGAGCATAAAGGCGGGGCCTGATAGAATCATTTATGTCCAGAGCCTAGGAATTTAAAAATTGATTACAACTCCTACTCACCTTCCCACTTTATGGCTGAAGTAAGGCCTGGCTGGACTCCTGAGAAAATAGCTCACTGAAGGACTGAGATTCACTGAAGGACTGAGAAAAGTTACAATTTAAATGGCAAAAATGTCATACCTAAGGAACATTGGAACATACAAACACCCCTTTTTGTAGCATATTGTTCTGGCTCACACTGAACTATTTAAGGTCAAAAGTGAAATATTTATCTTATGTGACCACTGAACATCTAAAAAGTACACAGGGGTGCAGAAAAAAACGGAACCAGGCCAGCCACAGGTCTGAAACTAGTTCCATAATGGAACATGAAATTCGCTTTAAAAAAAAAAAAAGGAAAATTAGAATCCTTTCAACAATAAACACGGAAGCCAAAGAAAGCTGCAAATAACAAAAAACCTCAGTGCAGGGAGGAAGTCACCTAGAGAATGCTGATAAATGCCAGAGCAGTTTGTTTACACGGAGACTCCAGCAACATATCATAGGAGTGAGAAATTCAAGCCACCAGATGCTTTCCGACTAACGGGGTCCAAATAGGACCGTTCTGGGGGTGAGGTGGAAGGGGGGGACCTGAGACTCGAGAAGCAGGGAAGTAATGACGCCCAGAACCCCGGGGCTGCTTCCCAGAGGCTGCCCTGACCCTTGCCCTGCTGCGAGAGGCAGCACTGGGGCCTGCACATTTCAGGGCTGTGCGAAGGGACCCAGGCGCCGGCGAGGGTCGAACCAAGTTCCCAGGAGAGGGAATTAAGGTCACCCAAATGAGGTGTCCGGCAAGGAGAGAAGGCAGCTGGCCAGGGAGGACTGAAGCGGGGGCAGGCCGAGAAAGGGGGAAATCGGGCCCCACAGGGGAAATTGGTTCAGTCTTGGGACAAGGAGGACCGGCCGCAGGGGAGAATGGGGGACAAGCCCGGGGAGAGGGGGGCAGGCTGGGCCGCAGCGGGACACGGACCGAGCAGGTCAGAGGGTGTCCGGCTGGGGCAGTTACAAGCCCGGGAGCCGGCGAGGCTCAGCGCCCTGCTCCCCGCTTCGGGGCATCCTCCTGCCAGCGGCTGCTCTGGCTGCTCCGGGCCGGGCCGCCTGGTCCGCCGCCACCGCTGCCGCCGCCATCTTACACTGGCCAGCCGCCGCCACCGACGCCGCCGACGCCGCCGCCGCCGCTGTCGCCGCCGCCGCCGCCGCCGCCACTCTCTGCGCTTGCGCCTGCGCCGCCGCGCTTTCCGGCCCCGTTTGCGACGAGGCGCCCGAGGAGACCTGGAGAGTGGGTAGGGCGCGAGATCCCGTCCCCCAACCCTTCTCTGCAGTAGCGCTGGGCGGGGTAATCTGGCGGCTAACGGAAGACCTGAGGTCAAGCGCGTGCGTGTTGGGGCTCCAGAAAGCCCCGAGGCGGTGACTGAGGCGCTCTTTCCACTGGCGGAGGACGAAACTTGTGCTGGACCGTCACCGGCTCTGACCAAAATAGTCTCCGTATCCTAGGGGCCTGGCAGATCACCTGGTGTGCGCCCAGACGGCGGTCTGCCTACTGCGAGGCACGGAGCCAGGACGTCGGAGCGGGAAGTCTTGGCCGGAACGTGCAGCCTCCGCCTCGCGAGGCACGCGGCTGCCCAGTCCCCAGCCCGCCAGCAGCGGCTTCGGCGGCCCTGCGCCCGGGGAAGACGCGTGTCCTCCGGGCTGGAGCTAATTTCCGCCGAGCACCTCCGAAGGACGAATCCAGCCTTCCTCTGAGATCGGCCATTTCCACGTTTGTCTGATTGTTTATTTGGGAGTGGGGCTTGGGGCGGGGGTGTGGGAGGGGGAGAGGAGGGTAGGAAAAGCTTAGGAGGTGGAGCGATGTGAGGCAAGACTCCCGAAAGTTTATCCTCCGAGTTGTGGCCTTAGGAAGGCCATTCCTGCGTTCAGGCCTCTGGGGTTATGGGTTGAGTCGGGGGCTGAATGCCACTGATGAGGTTGAGCCACGTGATGGGAAGGAGAATAGGAGTTGTGTCATCTCCTTGTTAGGATTCCTCGCCCGAGAGGAAGAGGAGACCCAGAATACTGAGAACCGGGGTCGAAATGGAAAACGCAGGCATCGAGTGTGTTTGGGCTACCCAAACAAAGTATACACCCCATTGGGTACTGTCAGAAATGCAAATCGAATCTAATAAAAGGATATACATAGATAAATATAAAAGGATAAGATTTGCCATCCGTAAGGCTACTGGGTTAACTATTTTAGGTGATTTGTAAACGTATGGATTTTGAGATTTAGATACATGTTATCTGGAGAAGTAAAATTAACATGTAATTAAGATAAACCGTGATGGGATTAGTTGGGCCAAGTTATTGTTATAGCTAAAATGTGATGTGCAGCACATGCATATTGCCGTAGGATATGGGGAAAAAACTTACTAACAGAGCTCTCCAGAGTGCTGCCCCAGGGAGGCAGTGCATTCCCCCTCTCTAAAGGTCATAAGATCATAGATCGAGAGCTAGAAAGGATTTCAGCCATCTGGTCCAACTCCTCCATTTTACTAATGAGGAAGCTGAAGTCTAGAGTGGTTTAAATGGCTTGCCCAAAGTTGCAGAGGTAGTAAATCTTAGACATGGGATTTGAATCCAAGTTTCTTTGACTGCAGAGTCAGTGCTCTTTTCACTGTACCGAGCTGCTTCCTCTTTAAGCAAAGGCTGGATGCTTTTTGCTCACTTACCAGAGATGCTGCAGAGTGAATTCTTGTTCAGGTACAGAGCTGGTCTAGATGCTGCCCCCCACCCAGGACCTTCCAACTATGAAATTATGTGAAAAGGAGTGTGCTATTTTGGCTTTAGCACCAACTAGGCAACAGATGCTGATTTTAATCCAAGGTACCTATTAGCTAGACATGAATATACCAGGAATAGGAATGGACAATTCATTAAGCTGATATCAAGACTATTACTTAATAGAAGTATCCTTTAAACACAGCTTGCTTTCCCTTTTCCCCAGTTCTGTGCTTCCTATCATTTCGTCTCCCAGGTGGACTTTTACCTTTTAGAAAATAGTGTACACTGTAAGTTTGTGATAATGGGGGGGGGGGGGTTGGACAGTTTTGTCTCCTTCCTGTTATAAATTAGTAAATTGTATTCTAATTTATGGGTGTCATGAGTTTGGTTAGAACAAGTTAGTTCCCAGAGCCTGATAAAATTTGGCTTCTAAACCAACAAACCTGAGGACCAGACTCTGGATCCAGGATGCAGACGTACTCTGAAGCTCAGCCTATGTAACCAGTGTCTCTCTCTGACATCTTAACTGAATCTTAACAGTGTCTTCTTAACTTAACTGGGATTCTCTCATAGAGGCTGAGCATACTTTGACAGAAAGGCTGAGGGTATTCTGACAGACTGAATTCAGACAGACCCAAAAAAAAAGTGCTTCCAGTGACAGTTCCTGAGTTCTGCAACTTTGGTATAATGATCATGTACTTAAGAATGGAGCTGAGAATATGAAACCTGGTGTCCAGCCTCTCAGCTCTACACAAGACAAAAAATTATTGATGATTTTGCATCATGTACAAAGAGGCCCATTTCCTAACTTTAGTTTTCCTCTTTGTCTTGGGCTTTTATCTTTTTTTCATAAGTTTGTTGAACCCTGGTGTCTTCACTGTCCCTTTGTCTCTTCTCATCTTATAAAGCAAGTAACTGAAAACCTGAAAAGAGAAGCCTTGACAAAATTTGGACATAGTGGAAAGGGTATAAATTTGACCCAAAAATACAACCTCCCAATCCCACAAAATTATAAACAGACTTTCAGGGAGGAAAAGGACCTCAGTTTCCATCTAGTTCAACACATACTTGAAAAAGAATTAAATCTGTAACATACCTAGTCATCCAACCAACCTTTGCTTAAAGACCTCTTCCAGTGAAAAAGAATATCTACACTCTCTCCAGCTTTCTGATGTCCTATGTTGCCTACATTTCCAGGTGTTATTGGACTAGATTGCACCAGAATCACCTTCTTGGAAGCTCTGTCTCCACACAGTCTTACATTAGCTTTCTTGGCTACCACACCACTGTAGATACTTGTGGAGCTTGAGATCCACAAAAATGCCCAGATCTTTTTCAGACAAACTACTGTCTAGCACTTTTTCATTCATCTTGTTCTTTTGAAGTTGACTCTTCATGACTTCAGAGGACTTCTATCCCTTGGCAGATGATGGTATGCTATAGGTGTGGAATGAGGAATATATTAAGACAACCAATGTGTTGATTTGTTTTGCTTGGTTGTATATGTCACAAGAGTGAGATCTATTGTGAGGACAAGAGCACCTATAAAAGTTTTGAGTTGATTTTTTTTTTTTTTCAATTCATGCATAAAACTTTACACTTAACCCTATTTGGATGCTGGACATTTCATTCCGGAAGACCTGGAGACATCTTACATTTACCATATCTAAAACTGAATTCATTATCTTTTCCCCTAAACTCTCCATTCTTCCTAACTTATTTTTGTTGATATAACCATTCTCCCAGTGTCTCAGATTTATTCTGGATTTCTCACTTATCCCACTGGTTGCCACATTGTCGTTTGTACTTTCACAACATCCCTTGCATCTAACCTCATTTCTCCACTCACAAAGCTGCCACCTTGGTTAAGACCTCTCAGTTGTTCTCCCTGCCTCATGCCCATCTTACCCAAAGCAGCCAAGTAATTTTCCCTAAGTGCAGATCTGATCTTGTGCCTCCCCTACTCAGTCAACACCAGTGGCTTCTGTTGACCCAAATAAAATGTTTTAGCTTTTAAAGTCTCTTACAAGCTGCTCCCAACCTGTCTTTTCCATCTTCAAAGGACATTATTCTGTCTCCTGGATTCCTTGTGATTCAACCAAACTGGCCCTTCCCTCCTCCCCTCCTCACTCCATCTCTGTGCCTTTGCATTGGCCATCCCTCATGGTGGAATGTGCTTTCTTTAGCTCCACCAGAGTGCCTCTCTTCCTATAAGATGTGACTCAAAACACCAAGTCATTGTTAAAAATCTTAAACTGCACAAGGTCACATACAGATGTCTGGGGCACTACATTGCTGATCTTCCAAGCTGACATTGGCTAACGTTAATAACTACT